ATTGTAACTCAGGGCTGACTCTGTAACATCCATGCTAGCAGCCACTATTAAGTTTGGGCACCTTAACTTTCTAAAGAATTGGCAGATTTTAACCAAACCTGATGCATTTACAAAGGGTAAGAGGAGACGTAGGCATATATTTACACTATATTTGCTGTATTGTCATACAACCCAACACCCTGAAAAAGAATGGCAGTTAATAAGTTCTCTAAAAGGCCTTATACACATTCACACCCACATATAATTTTAAAAATTGAGTTTCAATAAAATTTAGCCTGCCCAGAGACTTGGGGTAGGCTTGTGTTCATTTGTGAAAAGCCCTCTCATAATCTTTTAAAAGAACATAAATTCACTGTTTAGATATGCCTTAAGTTTATCCCTGACCATAAGCTTAAGGCTAATAAACTCTTCACTTTCACATTTTCCACTAAGTATCTGAAAGCACGAAGTCTCATTAGTAAGCATGGTGCTGTGGAATGAGTAAAAGCTTTTTATTTGATTTTTAAGAATAGATATTACAGAAAATATTTGATTCAATAATCTTCTGTTTCTGTTTCCTTTTGTAATCACAAAGGTCTAATTTTCATTGCTATTCTTTTTTTTTTTTTTTTTTTTTTTTTTGCGGTACGCGGGCCTCTCACTGTTGTGGCCTCTCCCGTTGCGGAGCACAGGCTCCGGACGCGCAGGCTCAGCGGCCATGGCTCACGGGCCCAGCCGCTCCGCGGCATGTGGGATCTTCCCGGACTGGGGCACGAACCCATGTCCCTTGCATCGGCAGGCGGACTCTCAACCACTGCGCCACCAGGGAAGCCCTCATTGCTATTCTTGACATGGCATTCTGGTATCACCCAAGAAGGACTCTTTTTGTCCCCATATATTTTCTGAAGAACCACCTATCTGAGGAACAACCCTTCTATTAAAAAAAAAAAAAGAGTTCCAACAGCCTCAGTTTACACTTCTAGCCACTTGTCCACAACTCTAGAGCTTGCTGATGACAAAGTCCAGATGACAGAACTGAGAAGTGAACCTAGGTCTGATTCCTGGACAGGTCTATTTCCACCTACTTCCCTGATTGATAGGATAGCTTATTTTAATACTCCTGTCACCTTTTACGTAGTAAAGTTTATTGACTCAGAACTCATTTCTGAAATCAAAACTCAAGTTAATCTGCATTAGAGCAAGAAGACAGAGCTGTAAATGTTCATGTAAAGAACTCATGACTAAAACAATAAGCTTCATAGCTCACAGATATAGGCAAATGACATATATCTAAAGTTATGTAGCTATAATGACTTCCTTGAACTACATGAATCAGAAAAGACTACTATCCATACCACTGACTTGACCAGAGACCTCTAGACAGCTGGCATCTAAGTATCAGACATTATTTTATACACATGCGACAAAGCATCTCAATTATCTAGATGACTCAAATATGTCAAAACTCAACTCACTGACAAAGACATGAAGAATCGGGCATCTATTAAACAAGCTCTTAATTACCACTAGGAAGTTTGTGACTAGTCATGTAATAAATTACTTCAAGTTGTTTCACTGAGCATTGAGTATCATCACAAGGTTATTTCCATAATATTAGGTATTGAGCAAACAGTTAAGATTATAACTTCATTAATTTTGGTAGAATTCATTCTTAAACTAATTTCTTTCCAACTGGCCTTTCTCCCAGGATATAAAGGAATACGAAGGATATAGTTTCCTACTCTGCCAGGACACTTAAAGGGAGCCCTTTTCAAATTCATTACTGGAATATACTTACTAACAGAATCAGTGCTATCTCTTCCTTTAAAGCTAATGTAGAGTGAGATGGGGAGTGACTGCTAATAAGTATGGGGTTTACTGAAAAAGCTGTTATTTTTTAAAACCAACAGAATTTATAAAACAAAGCAAAAAAAAAAACTATGGTTTGACACATGTATAGCCTGACAGTGAGGATTTGTATCAGTAACCCTTACTGGAATCTGACATAGGTAAAGCAGTAAAGTTTAGTATCTCAAGACTTTCATCCCTTATCTTAACAAAGTACCATTTTATTTCTTTATTTGTACTCTAAATCAGAGAATAATAAGCTCATCTCAAATTCTTTCATATCCAAAGCAAATGCTAAAACGTATTAAGTGGGAAAGAGATGTAATATAGATAAATTAATATTATTTTGAGTTTTAGGCCCATATGCCTCACCAATAGTATTAGTACAAGGAAGAATTTAAAATTAAACATTTATAATAAAACTTAAAAAAAAAAACTTTTAGGCAATGTGTTTCCTTTGTTCTAACTTATCCACTTAAAAAGGAGTATTCAGGGCTTCCCTGGTGGCACAGTGGTTGAGAATCTGCCTGCTAATGCAGGGGACACGGGTTCGTGCCCTGGTCTGGGAGGATCCCACATGCCAAGGAGCAACTAAGCCCGTGAGCCACAACTACTGAGCCTGCGCGTCTGGAGCCTGTGCTCCACAACAAGAGAGGCCGCTCTCTAGTAGGTCTGTGTCTTTATTCCTGTCTTACCCCTAGGTTCTTCATGACATTTTTTTTTTCTTAAATTCCATATATATGTGTTAGCATACGGTATTTGTCTTTCTCTTTCTGATTTACTTCACTCTGTATGACAGACTCTAGGTCTATCCACCTCATTACAAATAGCTCAACAGACTTGAGGATATGGGGAGGGGGAAGGGTGAGCTGTGACAAAGCAAGAGAGAGGCATGGACATATAAACACTACCAAACGTAAGGTAGATAGCTAGTGGGAAGCAGCCGCATAGCACAGGGAGATCAGCTCGGTGCTTTGTGACCACCTAGAGGGGTGGGATAGGGAGGGTGGGAGGGAGGGAGACGCAAGAGGGAAGAGATATGGGAACATATGTATAACTGATTCACTTTGTTATAAAGCAGAAACTAACACACCATTGTAAAGCAATTATACCCCAATAAAGATGTTAAAAAAAATAAAGTACGATCAACACACACACAAAAAAAAAAACAAGAAAGGACGTGATAGTGAGTGGCCCCCGCTTGCCACAACTAGAGAAAGCCCTCGCACAGAAACGAATACCCAACACAGCAAAAATAAATAAATTAATAAACTCCTACCCCCAACATCTTAAAAAATAAATAAATAAAAATAAAAAGGAGCACTCAGAAACTTTTCAAGTAATATTCACAAAAGGATAAATGCAATCATTTTAGACCCTGTTGAAATATCACTCTGTGTGTGTCTGTGTGTGCATACATATCACACACAGACACACACACATACTAAAAAAATATTTTAGACAAGGTTTAATTTTAGGATAGCCAATCGTTTAGAAGTGATAGGAAAAAAAACATTAATACTGAAGTGATTCAAAAGCCCCTACTGTCGGGACAGATAATATATATGAACTGATCATTTAGCCATCTGGAAGTGACAGTTTGCAGGAGGCTTCCAAAACTTTACAGAGAACATTAAACATTTTTTGTTAAGGCTTCAGTTTAGATATTATCGATTATAAAGAGCTTTTCATCAATCTGATTTTTATTGAACACTTACTATATTCCAGGTTAGGTGCTAGAGACACAGATGCAAGGCAGGTCTGTCCTCAAGGAAGGCACATTTTGATTGCTTGCTTATGTCAGATACAGCACTAAACATGTTAACTGACAGCATATGACCTCCTAGGCTTAACCCACAGCAGGGGATTCTGAAGTAAACGTTACAAGTGACTGTAAGGAAATACATAAAAGCTGTTGTACATTTAGACCAAATCTAACTCTACTTCCTAACATGTATAACATTACGCTAGAAGTTCCCGATATACTAGTAAAAAATAGTAAAATGACCCAAAGTATTAACTATACCTTCTTTAACACATATCACTTATACAATCGTCTCATTTAAAGGTACATCTATTATATTTCAGTCAAAGTATCTTCTTCCATTAAAGGATATTTCTCTTTACCCTCAAACTCTCATCTGGGTACAACACTGAACAGTTGCTGAATGAATGAATGAAATAAACAGATGTTCTAATTACCAAGGAAGTACTTGCTAGATGCTTATCTCAAAACACAATGGACTGACAGACCAGAATTCTACTGTAAAGATCACTGAATTGCAGAGGCAAAAATAGTAACCACTGGACATTGTCTGTTACCATGCAGTCAACGTGTTAAATTCACAGTAAATATATGACGGGAAACTTTCAGAAATTAAAATGAAAAGTGTTCATCACAGTACTTTAAAACAGATTTGGCTCCCATCGAAGGACTGGGAACTCAAGTCCAAGACAAAGAGAAGGGAGGGTGGGGTGAAAAAGTCAAAAGGTCACCACCGAATGACCCTCAAGAGAAATGCGCGCTGACCACTGAAGCTCGCGCCGAGCTTGACGGACACCTCCTGCCCAAGCTACGGGCCCGGGCTCTTCCTCGCAGCCCGGAGCTGAAGGCCACCCTAGCCTCTTTCGCCGCCGCCGCCTGCGTTCGCCCAGAATATCAGCACAAAGAAACCACCGAGAAACAAAACACTGTCCCCGTGGGCGCCGGGCAGGCGTCGGGACCGGGCCACCGGAGCGCTCTCTGCGGCTGCCCGCCGCCGGAGGAGGTAGCCGGGGCGGAGCGGGCCGCCTAGGCGCCTCCGTCCGGACCTTCGTCGAAGTGTTTCAGAACTTGCCACCCACCTCCCGCTCCATTTTCCCCTCCCGACGTGAACGCGGGACCCGCGCTCCGCGCGAGGAGGGCGCGCGAGGACCCACGGGCGGAGCTGGGGCGGGGATCGGCCGGGACGCGCCTGGGTCCAGCAGCCCCACGCCCACTGGCCGGCCCCCGCCACCCCAGCTGCTATTGTTCCCGCGCCGCCCCCGCCGGCCGCGCGCCCCCCGCCCGCCGCGCGCTCCCGCCCCCACTCCCGGGAGGGGGTCAAGGCTGAGGAGAGGCGGTGGCGGGAGCACAATAACAAACACGGCGGGGCCGCCGGCCGCCCCGGCCCTGCGGCACTGACCGCACTCACCCGGCAGCGCAACGAATGGCGACAGGAAAGCCCGGCGGCGGGAACCGGCGCCGTCTTGGAGGTCGCCGTGGCCGTTACCCAGCGCTGCTCGCGTCTCCACGCTCCGGGCCGCGTCGTCCGGCCTCGGCCCCTCCGCTGAGTAACAGGGACGCGGGCCGTCACCGCGCACGCCCGCTCACGTCATCGCGCAGGGCCCCGCCTCCGCGCTTCGCGAGAGCCCCCACGGGGCGGAGCAGCCCCGGGGCCCGGATTTCGGGGGCGGAGCCCGAAGCCCAGGGGCGGGGCTACTGCAGGGGGCCGGGAGGACTTGCGGAGGTCACCTGGAGGTGGAGCTGCGGGGAGAGCCTTCGAGAGCGTCTGAGAGCAGATTGTGAGGGGCGTGGCGGGAAGATGGAGGGGGTGGAGACTTGCTCCTGGCACGTGGCGGCGTGTGGCCTGAGCCCCCGCATCTGTATGGGGGCAGTACCCCAGTCCCAGCCAAAGCCTCACGGGCTCCTCGCCCCAGGGTTTGACGGTCAGGTGCGATTGAGGCAGACCCGCCCCGGCATCAGGCACTTTCCGCCCGGGCTCACACCTGAGAGACGAAAACCTCTCTACCATGACTAACAATATGTTACATTCTGAGAACACCTGCTTCGGGCCCAGCAATCCTTAAGCAAATATTAGCCACTTGGAAAAAGCTGCCTCCTGTTTTCTCCAAATCCACTTCCTACAAAAGTCCATGCACTACCCTATTTGTCTCTGGGCCCTGCAAAGCATGTATATGTTAGTTACAGAAGTGACAAATTGGCAAGCCCTTAAATATCTGACGAGTGGAAAGATGTCTAAATCACATACATGCTTGCAATAGAATACATTTTAGCAATTTAAATGCCATGTGTTCAAGGGATTCTGAACCACACAGGAAAATGTTCATCATGCATCGCTAAGAGAAAGAAGCAAGTCTATATACAGAATGATCCTACTTATATAAATACTATATATACATTGAAAAAACCTGGAAAGAACCATGACAAATTATTTTAACAGTAGTTCATCACTGGACTGTGAATTGTTCTCTTTTATATTTTGAGTATTTTTCCATGGTTTCCAAATTATGTTCATAATCAGAAAAAAGTATATTACTTTAATCATGAATAATACATATTTGTTGAATAAATGAATTAATTCAGGTAGACTACTTCCATGTCATGTTGGGCTGACCTGTTTCTAGTGATTCTGAAATGAAACATAAATGTGAGTGTTCATTTCTTCATTCTCTCCCTAATTCCTCCCTCTCTCTCAGACTTCTTTATTTGCTTCCTTTATTTCTCAAATAAATATTTATTACATGCCCACTCTGTGCCAGGTACTGAGCTAACACTGGCAATAGGATGGAGCTTACAGACTTAATCACTGTAATATAGAAATAATAACAGTAAACCAATGCAAAATGATCCCTGCATTATAATACAAATTGATATGGATACATAGTATTATGGAACCAATTGATAGAATTAATAATGCCTAGAAAGTCTTCCTTGAGGAACTGCCTCTTGAACTGAGAATAAATTCAACTAGGCAAAAAATATTTCAGACAGAGGCAACTTAGTGTGCAAGGGTTATATGATGACAGGGAGCATGGTTAGTTGGAGAAATTGAGGAAAAGACCAGTGCTGCTTGAAAAGCAAGGAGGAAGGAGCTATGAGATGAAGTTTGGAATATTGGAAAAGGACCAAACCTAGTGCAGCCATACTACTCATGTTGAAAATCTTGTCTTTATCCTAAGTGCAATGGGAAGCACCTGACATGCTTCAGCAAAGCGGGTAGCATGGTCAGAATGGCATCTTGAAAAGATTCCTTGTTAGAAGGAGGCCAGGTTGACATAGGAGTAGTCTAGATGGCAGATGGTGTAGGCTTGGTCTAGGGTGATGGTCATGGAAACAGTAAGAGGAAGGTTCCGAGCGCCCTTTAGGAGATCCAGTGCATAGGACTTGGTGATGGATTAAGTGGGCAGTGAAGGAAAGGGAGTCATCAAGGAAAAGTCATGTTTCTTGCATGTGGCCAAAAGTGGATATGGGTGCTGGTTCACTGAGATGGGAATCTTGGAAGAGGACGGGATTGAGTGGAAAGATTGCGAGAGCAGATAGCTTGAAGGCTTCTGATCTGCACAAAAGAGAGGCCAAGTTGACAGTCGGGTATATAGAGCTGGGCTCAGGTGGATAAGAGAAGAATCATTGACAGATAGTGATTACTTGCACCCTTGGGTGTGGATGAGTTAGCCTAGGCCTGAGGGAAGGAGGGTGCTGAGCAAGAAGAAAAGAGGGCCAAGAGCCAGGTTTAAGGAACTTCAGCATTAAATGGATACAACAAAAGATGAGCCTGAGAAGGGGCTGCCAGGAGGTAGATGGAAAACCAGGTGAGAGTGATTCAAGAAGGAGTGATCAATAATATCAAAAAAAGAGGAGGCTTAAAATCCTGGAGCACTTAGATTCAGAAGTAGTTTAGAGTGGGCTCAGGAATGAATGGGACATTGAAAATTGAGATGGTGGATACTGATGAGTCAGGCAGTGGAGGAAGACAAGCATATTTTATATCTGATAGGAAGACTGTTGAGAGGGAAGGGTAGAATAGAAGGAAAAGGGGCTTTCCTGGTTGCGCAGTGGTTAGGAATCCACCTGCCAATGCAGGGGACACAGGTTTGATCCCTGGTCCAGGAAGATCCCACATGCCACAGAGCAACAAAGCCCTTATGCCACAACTACTGAGCCTGCGCTCTAGAGCCTGTGAGCCACAACTACTGAGCCCATGTGCCACAACTATTGAAGCCCGTGCTCTGCAACAAGAGAAGCCACAGCAATGAGAAGCCCACGCACCGCAACGAAGAGTAGCCCCAGCTTGCCGCAACTAGAGAGAGCCCGCGTGCAGCAAAGAAGACCCAACACAGCCAAAAATAAATAAATAAATTTATAAAAAAAAAAAGAAGAGAAGGAAAAAGCATGAGTGTAAATTTCCTGGGAGAGCAGGGTAGGGGCATGGAGGGGTGGAGGTTGTGTGATTGGACATGAAGGTGGAAGTATTGACAAGTACCTCCTACTCCCCACCAGATAATATTAAACACCTGGAGGTAACAAAAGACAATCAGAGCAGTTGTGAAGTGAGGGGTATTGCAGAACAGCTCCCAATTTTCATGCCTAGTTCTGTAATGCTATTAACCACCTCTCTTTCTTTCCACGGGAAGAGCTTCTGATTTAGCATCAGCCTTCCACTGTCAGCTTCCTATTATCTACATCTAGAAGGGACATCCTGCATGTTTATGTATGTATATGTGCATGTGTGTGATTTCAGAAGGCATTTCACTACTTGTGATTGAATGTAATCACCTCTGATGTTCTGCAAATTCAAAATCGTTTTTGTAACCCAGACGTGGCTCTGGGCCTCCTTCTTCCTTCTCATGGCATTGTTCCTTGTTAACTGATTGTGGTACCTTGTGAACCTATTGAGGGCTGACTCTGAAAAAGAGGAAGAGCTGAGGAATTCTTTCATTATTAGCTTTTTTTCTCAAGTTCTGCCCCTACCTCCCAAGTGTAGATACACCTATGCTAAATTGCCCTCTCTCCATCCACATCCAGATATTGAAGATATTCAATATTTATCCCCCAGAGAAGAAGACAAAGGGAATTGAGTGGGAGGGAAAGAATATGTCGTTGAAGTTCTGTAACAATAAAATCCTTGCTGTTGTCTTATATAAATATATATTTAGGAAGAAGCCTTTTCATCAGATCTTGCAACAAGGATTCTGTGCCTCATTTACAATCCTTTCACCTACAGTCTCTTCCAGCCCAGTGGAATTTTGCCATTTGTACCTCCGGTACTGCAGAAAATTTGTCTAGGTCCCATGGCAGAGAGAAGAGAGCCCCTCACTACTGGCCCCTCTCCCTTGGTAGTTTTAGGGAGGATAATCTCCATTGCACCTCCATCTCCATATCAGTCTCCATCTTCATCCCCACCTCCATCTCCATCTCTGTCTCTACCTCCATTTCTGCCTTCATCTCCATCTCCACCTCCATGGCTCCCTCCCTTATCTTTCAGATGTAAAACTATAATTCATGTTAGATTGGCTGGCATTCAGAAAATGACCCTTTAGAAGGGAGACCCCTATGAACTCCCAACCTCTGCCAAAAGTCCCTACCATTCTGATAAATTTAGAAAGTCTCTTTGTGGTGTTATTGGGTAGCAAGAAGGAGATTCTGGCATCACTTTAGAGTTAAGAGTCATTGTCTTCAGGTGGCAGGATTTTGAGCCCCTCAGAAAGCAAAAGCATTGCTAGAAGAGGTGTTTTCCTGCTACTGCCTTGCAGAGGCCTCTGGCAGGACAGGATTTGTCTCCTGTCCCTGACTCCAGAGGTGATCTGAAGTCCTCCAGTGGTCCTGAGAAGATGTTCTTTCTTCTAGAAAGCAGAAGTTACGAAACCACCTGGTAAAGGAATTTCAACAGCTCCTTTAGCCTGTTCCTGAAGCAGATTCCCACACAAAAACATCCCTGCTTCTGTGGCTAAGTTTCATTGCCCCTCACGCCCAAACTAGCAGGATTAATTCTCAGCTGAGCGTTGACATAGCTGTACCAGCCTGGCCAGCTCGAGGCTCGTTGTGGGGCTAAGAAGACGGCAGAGGAGAGTAAGGTTTCTGTCTTGGGGAGAGGAGAGTAAGGTTTCTATCTATCTTGGGGAGAGGCAGGGGGAAATGCCATAACCCTTCAAGGAAAGGCCCTTTTAAATGAAAGACAACTGCACAGGGAAGAAAGTGAGTATTCTTTCCTGAATCCAAGGCAGTTTATGCTCCAACTGAAGCTTGAGGGATAAACAATGCAGCATAAATAGGGAAGAAATTTATTTCTGGAGGTGCTAAGTCATGAAGACTGGGTAAGGTCTCAGACCCAGCCCACTTTCCCCATCCCCCTTGCAGTGTTCTATTTCCTTGTAAAGTGTGGTTGGTAAATGTCAGCCTACGCAGAGCAGAAAGCAGAATTTCCCTTCCCTTGGAATCAGCAGGAGCACTAGGGATGTCACAAATATCTTCTCAAAGGCAGGGCCATGGCATGAGGTTTTCTCTATCACCAAGCAATCAAGCAGGCTCTACCAAGCAAGGCTGTGCCCACGAAGAGAGGAGGACCATCCTGTTTGGATCCCCTTTTGTGGGCACAT